TAATAATAATAATAATAATAATAATAATAATAATAATAATAATAATATCAGTAAAATCTCACTAGAAAAGTCTTCCCTGGAAGCATTCGAGGATTGCAGTAAAGGAGAACTACACTACAATTCTCTCTAGCCTTTGCTGAACTTAGTAGGTCTTTTGAATAAATGTGAATGGGATGAATTTAAACAAAAGTCCATTGACATCTGCAAATTTAGATCTTATAGCTTAGGAATTTTTACTCATCTTTGCAATGAACGAAAAGCAGTAATTCCCATTTAGCCACTGCACTCCCTTGCATTCATCATTATTATTCTCACAGGGACTTACCTTTTTCAATGTAGGAGGGGTAACGAATAATTGTCATTGAAAAGTATATTTGTAATCAGTCATGGTGGGTTTTGAGCTTTAATATTCAAAATGGACATTCAAATGCTGTATTATATTTATCTAAAAGGGAAACTCATTGTTGTGGGAAAATAACTATTAAATATTTATTATGTAACGTTTAATATTTTAAAAAAGATTATTTTTCTGCAAAAAAGAGATTATTTTTTCATCTTGCTGCTTACCAGATATTTAAATATTTAGAAGCTTGGAAGTGTGGCTTTTAGCTACTTAACTAAAACCAAGGAATTGAGTCTTTTTTTTTTTAATGAACTGATCATAAGGGGATGTATCTAATCACCATCAAAGGGAAAAAGGTGTGTAAAGAATTCTAAGTGCAAATATTATAAAAGAGCTGAGATGTTTTCTTGCAGTAGAAATGTGCCAGAATCAGTTCTGAATGGACAGTAAAAATGTCAGGAGATTCTTTACTCAATGTGCCCAAGTAGTAACTCAAACATGTATTTCCACGAGCCTATGCAGTTGCCAAAGGCACCCTAGGAAAAGGCATGCTTCCTTTAAGGAGCTTCAAAGAGGTATAATGAGGCTGCCCATACAGCAGGAGTGTCAAACTTGCATTGTCGTGGTGATGTCACATGATGTATTGGAACTTTTTCCCCCTTTGCTAAACCAGGCATGGGCATGACCAGTGTGTGATGCATCCAGCCCACGGGCCGCAAGTTTGACAGCCCTACCATACAGGATTCAAAGCATCCTTACTCACTTTGGTTTCAAATACTGCACACTTCTGGCCTGGACTATCAGAGGTCCATCTCTTAGGTATGCAAGAGAAGACCTTCTCTCACTTCCTTGGGAACTGTACCAAAAACTTTAACCTTAGACTGTCTACTATTGACCTCACCCCTTTCCTAAGAGGTCTCTAGGGGGCGTGCATAAGTGCACCAACGTGCCTACCATCCCTGTCCTATTGTTTCTTTTATTTTTCTTTTATTTTTCTTATATGCACCCATTTCATGTATTCATAACTATGTATACACTTATACTTATTATCTTGTAAACAATTGACAAATCAAATAAATAAAATTAATTAATTAACTAACTAAATAAATAAATATAGTCTGCCATCTGAAAAAGAAGTGAGACCTTCAGCCAAGTCATTTAAGTCGGTCTAATAATTGATTGACTGATAATGTGTCATCACGTTGGTGTTAACTCTTAGCAACCACATAGATCGATTTCATTTGTCAGTTATCAATGATCTGTCCCTAACCTGATTCTTTAGGTCTTCCAGTGGAATTGAACAGTATTTTAACCATTTTTAGTCAGCTTTTAGGTGTTTACATTTTAACACCTATTTTAGGGTGTTACTGATGATGAAGATACACTGTTTCATATTTAAAAAAAAAAATAACCCAGGAAGCATAGATTGTAATGGGAGAAGAGAAAAAGTACATGGCATGGATGATGGGACAGAATAGTAAAATATAGGTTTTTTTTTTGTTATGACAAAAAAGTGTATTTTTGACCCAAGACCTACAGACATTAGTGGAATCCATTCAATATTACTGTACATTGTAACAGTACATTATGAGAGTACATTGTAACCAATCTTGTAAAAACTGCTTCCACAAAAACAATTTTATATGTCTAGTTGATATTGTAAGATATTTTTTGTAAATGCTGACTCTTCAGTCAAATCACATACAAAAATCACAAATTTGTCTCTTTCATCTACAGGGAAAGATCTATCAAACTTACTTATCTGGTTTGAAGCCATATACAACCTACCACATTCATATTGCTGCTGTCAATAATGCTGGGCAAGTTGCTAGTCCATGGACTTCAGTGCGCACCCTGGAAGCTTCCCCAAGTGGCCTAAGCAATTTTACAGTAGACAAGAAAGAGAATGGCAGGGCATTATTACTCAGATGGGCAGAGCCTTCCAAGCCCAATGGTAACATTAAGGTAATTGAATCTTATTTCATCAAGATGGAACAGAAACATTGTGGAGAAAGTCATGATGTAAAAGTCATTAATGCGCTACTATATTATGAATGTTTTAATTTGCAATACTGCAAACCTTTAATATAGAACTTCATGAGTATTCTCAATTGTAATTCACTTCTAATATAGTGATATGCCATACAATGGCACTTTGGAACTCTTCATTAATTGATTCCAAGAGGTGCAATAAGTACCAAAAATGATGGGAATCAAACAAATTTTACCTATGGGAAATAATAGTGAGCCACAAGGAAGCCAACACCAAGTATACTTTTAACAAAATACTTATTGAAAATATGTGATTGCTTTTAGCATCTTATCTTAGAGATTTTTCACAATCCTTTACAATGGTCATTTTTAACCCCAGCCCTTTTCTTGGTTTAAAAATCAAAACTTGATTTAAAAATCTTTCTATCCATCCATAATTAAATCAGACTGAGCTAAGTGGATCCTTCTTAGAGCTTTTCAGTACCACACAATATAAGACATTCTCAAGTTGTTCTTCCAAGCAACAGGATAGCGATTCATCTAAAAGGTCAAACACTGACCTTTCCAGTATCCTCAAAAATAATCCAAATCTAATACTTAGCCCATTAACTTTTGATCTACGTGTAAATCTTGATTTTTCTCCGTGAGTTCTTCAGTTTTCAGCATTAAAATAATGTTGAGTACGCAGTAAGCTTTCTGAGCCTATTGAATTTAAGGTACCAGCCCTTGAATGGGAAAACCCAAGTTGTAGTCCTGCCTTAGGTGCAAAGCTACCTGGGTGATTTGGTGCCAGTCAGTCTCAGCACTTGGAAGAAGGCAATGGCAAACCACCTCTGAAAGTGTTGACAAGAAAGAACTAGCCTACAGGAATTAAAACTAACTCAATGTTACCTGCATATGACATAAGCACAAAGGTGAGTAGAGTAAAACTCTTTCCCCAAAGAAAAGAGAGGTGGGTAGGAGTCTAAGCATCCAACTGAACACTTTCCTCATGCTTTTTATTATGCCTGAATCTTTAATAAACATCCTGTTTTTACAATCTCCAAAGAACAGCAGGGATGGGCTGCCAATAGAGCCTGTGAAAAGTTATTGTACTTATTTGGTGGGTTGTATTAGGTTTAAAAAGCTGCCTGATGAGGCCACTAATGGTCTTGCTGGTAATGCATGGATATTGTCTTTCCTTTCAGATTTACAATATTTTCAATGATGGTAATCTAGAATATAGTGGTTTGTCTCGTCAGTTCCTCTTCAGACGTCTTGAGCCCTTCACTGAATACACTCTCCTTCTTGAAGCTTGTACAGCAGCTGGTTGCACTCACTCTTCACCGCAGCAAATTTGGACAGATACAGCCCCTCCTGCTTCTCAGATGGCTCCTGTAATCGTTTTGGTGAATGCAACCAACATTGAATTGAGCTGGTCTGAGCCAATTAATTCAAATGGAAAAATAATGCGCTATGAAGTTATTCACAGACATACCAAAGAAAATGCTTCAGGGGAAAATAGCACGACAGAAAAAGAGAACATTGTTTTCACAGAATATAACACTGGGAGTAATGCATTTGTATATCATGCTCAGCATTTGCAGCCATGGACTACATATGAATATAAAATACGTGCCTGGAATTCAGCAGGCTACACTGATAGTCCTTGGTCTGCTGCAAAAACCAGTCAAGCTGCCCCAGAAGGCATGGCTGCTCCCACATTAACTTATATCCCTCAAAATCCCAGCAAAATATGGATTTCATGGTCATTCCCAGAAAAAAGCAATGGTATTCTGTTGTCATATAAGCTCCAAAGAAATAATGTTCCCTATCCTTTTAGCTTTGATGCTTCAACGTTCAATTATACTGATGAAGGCTTGCTTCCATATACAGAATATAATTATGTGATAACTGCTTGTACCCTGGGAGGGTGCTGCTCTAGTGACCATTCCAGAATACGGACATTAGAGGCAGCCCCAGCAATAGTCAGCCCTCCTATTCTAGAAGGTATACATTCAACCCAGATTAATATATCTTGGTCGCCACCCCAAATTCAAAATGGTGAAATCATAAAGTATATTTTAAAGCTGAATGGTGAAGAACAATATGTTGGAAAGGGTTTATTCAAGACAGTAGTGAATCTACAACCTTATACTAAATATGACATCACATTGTTTGCTTGTACCAATGGAGGGTGCACTGTTAGTGCATCCCAAACTGCTTGGACAACAGAAGCCCCTCCTCTTAACTTAGATCCCCCTAAGTTACGAGTGATAGATTCTGAATCTATAGAAATTACATGGAAAGCTCCCAATAATCCAAATGGTAAAATCCAGTTTTATGAGCTAAGGAGGAATGGATTGCTGGTTTATTTGGGTCTAGATAAACACTTTAAGGATTTTATGTTAACTCCTGGAGTAGAATACATTTATACTGTTACTGCAAACAATAGCCAAGGGAGTGTCACCAGTCAGATAGCCAAGATAAGAACCGATCCTTCTGCCCCATCTGGAATGTCTCCACCTCTGTTGCATCCATGGACCTCACAGACAATTTTGGTTATTTGGGATCCTCCAGCAAAGATTAATGGTAACCTGATCAATTATACTATCGTTCTTCGGGAGCCTATTAAATCACAAAAAAAAGTGATTTACCTGGATTCATTCCACGATTCTCTTGGAAGACAATCTTACAATTTAACAGAACTTAAACCCTATCACAGGTATGTTGTAAGCATATGCTGTAATGAGTAAATGAGGAGGAAATTCTTGTACTTTAGAACAAAAATTGATTTCCCAAGGCATAAGATTAACTCACTGCATCCATGAAAAGCTGGGAGGTTGTTGACTAATTGTTGACTAAATTTAGTCAATTTGGGTTTTTTTCTTTTATAGTTAGCCTTTGCCAATCAGATTTTGTATTTCTAACAAATTTAGTGTTATGTTCTTTTCTGCCCAGATGAGAATATCCCAATTTTTTCAATTCATATAATTACATTCTTATTCACCAAAAGAACTTAAATTACAGCCCAGTCTTTTTATTTATTTTATTTATTTATTTGATTTGCCAATTGTTTACAAGATAATAAGTATAAATGTATACATAGTTGTGAATACATGAAATGGTTACATATAAGAAAAATAAAAGAATAAGAGAAACAATAGGACAGGGACGGTAGGCACGTTGGTGCGCTTATGCACGCCCCCTACAGACCTCTTAGGAAAGGGGCGAGGTCAATAGTAGACAGTCTAAGGTTAAAGTTTTTGGGGTTTGGGGAAGAAACTACAGAGTCGGGTAGAGTATTCCAGACATTGACCACTCTATTGCTGAAGTCGTATTTCCTGCAATCAAGTTTGGTGCGGTTTACTTTGAGTTTGTATCTATTGTGTGCTCTTGTGTTGTTATGGTTGAAGCTGAAGTATTCATTGACAGGTAGGACATTGCAATGTATGATTTTGTATACCATGCTTAAGTCAGACCGAAGACGGCGTAATTCAAGGTTTTCTAGTTCTAGAATTTCAAGTCTGGTGGCATAAGGTATTCTACAGCGAGTAGAGGAGTGGAGAACTCTTCTTGTGAAATATTTCTGGACTTTCTCAATTGTGCTAATATCAGATACGTAGTGTGGGTTCCAGACTGATGAACTGTATTCGAGTATTGGTCTAGCAAATGTTTTGTATGCTCTGGTGAGTAGTGTGATATTACCAGAGAAAAAGCTACGTAGGATTAGGTTAACAACTCTTAATGCCTTTTTGGCTATGTAGTTGCAGTGGGCTCTAGCACTTAGATCATTAGAGGTGAGTATTCCAAGGTCCTTTACAGAGCTTGGGTCATCAACAAGATCTTGACTATTCAGCTTGTATTTTATTTTCTGATTTTTTTTGCCAATATGTAAGACAGAGCATTTATTTGTTGAGATTTGAAGTTGCCATTTGTTTGACCATTCGGATACATAGTCAAGATCTTTTTGTAGGGTAGCAGTATTGTCTGTGGTATTGAACAGCTTTACATCATCAGCGAAGAGAACGCAATTGCTCTTAATATGATCACAGAGGTCGTTTATGTAGAGTATGAAGAGAGTTGGTCCTAGAACACTGCCTTGGGGAACACCACTATTGACAGGTACTGGATTTGATAGGACGCTCCCGATTTTGACCATTTGTTGTCTGTTTGACAGGAATGCTTCTATCCAGTTATTCAGTTGTCCAGAGATACCATAGGATTTTATTTTTAGGAGTAGTTTGTCGTGTACCACTGAATCAAAGGCTTTACAGAAGTCTATGTAGATTGCGTCTATTGCTTTGCCCTGGTCGAGTTGTGTCGTCCATATGTTTTTGCAGTGTAAGAGTTGCAGATTACAGGATAGTTTTTTTCTGAAACCAAATTGTTTATTGGAGAGTAGGTTATTTGTCTCTAAGTGAAGGATGATGGATTGGTTAATAATTGATTCCATGACTTTACAGGTGACGCAGCATAAGGAGATTGGCCTGTAATTTTCAACTAGGCTTGGGTCTCCCTTTTTGAAGATGGGGATGACTGTGGCTTGTGACCATAGGTTAGGCAAGGAGCTGGTTCTGAAAGATTTTTCAAAGATTATGCTTAGAGGTTTGGCTATGGCAGTGGATAGCTTTCTTAAGAAGTAGGCACATATTCCATCCGGTCCAATAGATAGAGATGGTTTTAGGTTGCGTATTGCTTTTTCAACATTGTCTTCTGTGAAATCGATATGTATTAGATCATTGTTGTTATCTGTGGTACGGCTAGGAAATACTGGGCATGATCCATTGCTGTTTACAAATACTGAGCCGAAGAATGTGTTAAAGATGTTGGCTTTAATGGTGTCGTCGTTGCAGTCTTTACCATCAGGTCCTATCAAGGGAGGGATGGACCTTGAGTCTTTTAGTTTGTTGTTTACAAAATTGTAAAAAGCGCGGGTGGAATTGGTGCTTAGAAGGTTTTCCTCTTGTTTAATGTGATAATTGGTGCATTCGGTCTTTATCTGGTGGCATAGATTTTTGTATCGGTTTTTGAAATTGGCAACGTGACCAGATTTGTTTTTCCGCCAGAGTGATCTCTTTTTGGATTGAAGTTTCCTTATTGATATGGGTAATCTGCTTTTTTGTTTTGTTTTGGGAGTTGTTGTTGGTACATATAGTTTGATGACTCTTTTGACTTCAAGTAAAAATACGTTATAATGGTCTTCAACGGTATTGCATCCAGTGAATAGAGATTGCCAATCAAGGGATGAGAGATCGTTGTCTATAAGATTATAGTTGCCTTTTTTGAAGTTACAATAGGGGATTACATCATTGTGGTGATTTTTGTGTGGATGTATGTTGAGACAAAAGTCGATCATATTGTGGTCACTACTGGAAAAGGGTTCTTTAGATTGTATTCCGTAGATTAGGTTCAAACTGTTGCAGAAGATGAGATCGAGGCAGTTGTTTAGTCTAGTGTTGTTGGTTACTAGTTGTTCCAGTCCCAGATTTGTAATAGCATTGTAGAAGGTTGTGTGTATGATTTCAGTTGTACAATCATTTAGGGTCCAGTTAATATGAGGTAGATTGAAATCACCAAGAAGGATAAAAGGGTATGGGCAGGATGCAGCCCATGTTAGTAATGTATTTAGCTTGTTTACATGTTCGATGTCATAATCAGGTGCTCTGTAACATAGTAAGAATCGAATTGTGATATTTGAGGATAGTTCACAGATGATGGTTTCAGGAAGGGCAAACTCCTGGGTAACTTGGATATTTTTTAGATGTAAGGATTTTTTATAGAATATAGCAACTCCACCTCCTCGACGATTTTCACGATCTGATCTGTAAACATGATAGTCTCTTACTGTGGTAATGGAGTCGGGGAGAGATGCATTGAGCCATGTTTCACAGACAAATATAATGTCGAAGTTAGCCATATTTAGGAGGAAGAGAAATTCAGGTATTTTATTCACGAGGCTTCTTGCATTGAGTAGTTTGCATTTAAGGCCGGCAGTAGTTGGAATTGAGGTAGTTGGGGGCGTGCGTGCCTAGTCTTGGGTGATGGTGGATGGGTTGAGGTAGGGTTGTGGTTGAGGGTAAAAGCTGAGTATTGGGTTGAGTGGTTTACTTTTGATACAGTCAGCATGGTAGTCAATGTACAGGTCCTTCTCTCCATTGTCTAGACGGTTTTTGAGTTCGATGCGGAGTGCACGGGAGCGGGCACGTTGCTGTATGGTTAGGTCAGGGCGGCAACGGAGGTTCTTATGGATGGTGTTGGTTTTGGCGAGTGAGTTTATAGTATAAATGAATTTACGTTTGCTTGATTCATTTTTGCAAATGACCCTGCACAAGCGTGGGGCCACAGAGCCATCTCTATTTTTGAGCTCTCGGTCAATGCGGGAAATGTCAAGTATTTCATCAGCGGAGATGGTTGATGCTTGATAATTTCTGATGATGTTTCGGACAGTTGTGATGTCATCATTGACATTGATGTCTTCTAGACCAAATAAGATGGCGTTTGGACGTTTCCGTTCACGCTCAACGGCTTCTCTGATGAGAATTGGGATATCAATATTTGTCTGGGTTGTGTTTATTTGTGGATTGGGTTGTGGATTGGATTGTGGTTGATTGGTAGAGATGTGGTTTGTAGCTATTGGATGTTCAGGTTTTTGCGTTGTGTCCTTTTTTTCAAGGTTGGATATTCTTTCTTTTACGGCGTCCAGGGATGCTACTATGATGTTGAGGGATGTTGTAATGGTTTCGATGGTAGGGGATGTTTCAATGGTTTCAATGGTATCAACTCTTTCAGACAGATCCAGTTTGGGTCTGCATGATTTGCAGATATGTGGAAACTCATTGGATGATTTTAGGTATTGAATCATCTGCTCAGGTAATCCCAAGCAGTCATGATGAGTGTATTTTTTACACAGAGAACATTTGATGGAGTTTTCATTATCCTTTAGATTTTTGTAGCATTTAAGGCATGTGCAGGAGTCTTGTGGTTCATTGGTGGGGATCATCTTCTCTTTAGGTTGTGGTTTGACGTAGGATTTTCTTTTTGGCATGGTAGGATTGTTAAAATAGTACGTTGATTGAATTTTTCTTTTTTGTTTAAATGTCTGCAAGCTTGGTCTTGTGGAACATATGCACTTTATTTTACCTTTATATGTAATGCAAAGCCTGGGTTCTACTGCCTCATTTCCAGTTTGTGTTTGTAAAGGTATGAAGTACGGATACAAGCCTGCAGTCTTCTGGGCTGCACTCACAGTGAATGGTCCTCCATACAAACTCTTGAAGCACCCCCTGAAATACAGCCAGCTCCTTTCATAGATGTCCAGTCAAGTCCTGATGGATTCCAGACTGTTCTTTCCATTGTATGGACTGGCCCAAAGTACCCAAATGGAAACATCTTACATTATGAGCTTTATCGAAGACAGCCAGTACCCAATCAACACAATGCCAGCCTTGTTTATAATGGTTCATCCACTTCATTCAAAGACGACACACTCTTGCCTTACACCGAATATGAATATCAGGTATGAAAATGGGAGATTACTGTGAAAATTTCTGGGCATATCACTGAGAAATTCTCTTTATCAAATAGTTAATATGCAGTATCTTAGCAATGGTATTATTCACTCTAAGAACTGTTAGGGATCACAGTGCTTCGAGATGGCATAGCAATTCCTCTTTACACATGAACTTGTTTTGTGATATAGCGAAGCTGACAGATTCCCAGAGACATGATGCTGAATGGATATGAGTGCCTTCAACTCCAGTTCTGATGCAGATGTAACTCTTTTTTGCACAGCGTCTAGACATAATACAAATGGGGGAGGGGAGTTTGTGTGTATCTATTTCTCTGTCTTGTTTTGTTGGCTGACTTAGTCTCCATAAAGAGTACTTCAGTTAGCATATTATCTGAGTGATATAGCATATCCAGAGGCCTCTTAAACTTGTCACAACCAAGAAGCAATAATGGTTCCTTAATTCCAGTAATTATTCCTAGTGTCTTTTGAGCTGGATAAATCGGGAACTTGGACAAGTTTTTTATTGAAATTTTTTGGATGCTTCTTGTGATTTTGCACAGTTACACCTGGGATATAGATGCCTGCCTATGGCAAGTTTCAGAGGAATGCTTGACATCACGTGGAAGCTTGTGTTTCATCACTGATGATGGCTCTTCAATTATTTGATTTCCTACTTCGAATTATGGCATTTTCTTTGAGCTTCGACAAGTTGACAATGAGAGAACCTTTAGAATGCTTTCTGGAATTCCTTATTCACATTAGAGGATGGAATCTCTTTCTCTCTCTCTCTCTCTCTCTCTCACACACACACACACACACACACACACACACACACAGAGTGGGGAGGGAGAGAGAGAGAGAGAATATATAAAATTTTATGCAGTTTTAGCAAACACATGCAGACAGTAGAACCAGAAGTTTTACGAAATCTTGGCTGTAAGCTGGCTGAGGGGATCTAAATAATATTTAGATATTTTCCAATTGGCCCTATTTTTCCTAATCCCTGACACTGTGGCTAATAATTATGACAATCTCTGACCTTTTAAGGAAATGATGAGTGCCCTTTGAAAAATGTTATTAGTATATTCAGCCTTCTAGTCTTAATTATTCAAATGATAGGAATCTGGATACCTCTTTTTATAAGCATTTACACTGTAGGCTGTAACAGTCTATATTGAGGACAACCTATCATTTTGCACAATGCTGCTCCTAAACATTATACTAAACAATAAAGTAAGGCCATATTTAGAAGAGATTTATATTTTTCAAATTTAGGTTTAAGTAAAAGTATAACTATCTACTTTGCTTCTGAATTACTTGAACATTCTTACTGCGATAAACCCATTCTTTTCAGAGATTCCACTCAAATTTAGATTTTACTAAAATGACACAATTGAAACTATCAAACATTCTGAGCTTGCTGGTAATTGGAGAGGGTTGTGGAAATGCATATTCACGTGTTATGCAGAAATATGCAGTTTGATAGCATTGTATGGCATCTACAAAGTTAGATTTCAGCTGAAACCACTAACACACTGAATAAGAATTCAAATAAGCTGTAAGCCGTTGCTCACTTATTTTGTTTTGCTTGTTGTTTTATTAATCTTTTTTTTTTATTAACAGGTACTTTGAAATTAGTCAATGATGCACTAAGCCATATATGTTAGCAGTTAACAATTTTATTCTGAAATGGAGAACGTGTCTTTGTGAACGAAAAAAAGCATGCCTGTATTTTTCTTTCGCAGATGTTATATGTAGATATCCCTCAGGGAGCTATTCTTAGACATTGTTGACAATATATTTATATTGCTTGTGAGACATCTAATTCATAAGTGTAGGAATTGACTTTTGATGAAACCCAGATTTATTTTTCATTAAGCATCATATTGATTCTTCTGCATCTCTCTCAGAGCCGTGTTTGTTGGCTATAAAGTTTTAAATGCAACTAAATTTCCTGAAATGGAAAGAAGGCCTTTAAAAAACTGCTTTCAGTCTTCACAGTCTAGCTTGATGGTTCTGACATTAACAATACAACTAAGGTCGGAAATGATAGTATATTTTCTTCTTTTTATTTTTGAAGCTTTTACAAACTTTTTAATCTAGGGCAGCACAAGACAAATCTTAGGATAGAACAATTCTTTTCACACCCAGGACCCCGGGTTCAGTTCTGAAATCTCCAGTTAGACAGGAGAGATGGACAAAATACCAGGCAACATGGTGGTCCTGTCAACAACATTAATTGGAATGAGAAAAATCCTGACAGAATTTTGTATCTACTCCAGGAAAGCATACTTACAGATAAATTATTCAAAAACTAAGGTAGCAATATTTACTAAAAAACCAAAGAGACATAGATGGGCACAGGATGATAAGGAGTATTTGGGTATTGACTTTACTGAAATGCTATCATGGAAAAATTGATATAGTATCAGCAAGAACAATGGCCATTACATAAATGAGAATCATTTGTTCTTTCCTTACTCAAAGATACTGGTATGTAAGCTTAAGTATCAATTTTTAAAGATGGGCAAGGAATTTCATATTATTTACAGTATCTTACATCCCATTTTCTGAGACAAGCTTTTACAGAATTTTGTTTTCAAATAATGCCAATAGCCTATTTGGATAGAAGATTCAAAGTTTTATCAACTACATATTGTTTATGCATTTGTAATAACTCACAGGTTTGCTCAGAATTTAATTTGACTCCTAAAATTCAAAGGCTATCTGAGATACCTTCTAAAGAAGCGCAAAGAATTGCCAATCAGTAATTGCAATCTAGAGATTCATTTATGGTACAAAGATTAATGGTCATGCTCAAAGGTTCAATAATTTACTTTTATAATGTGACAGAGTACAAAAATGAATGCAAATCAGTGGTGGTATTCGACGGATTCGGAATGCCTCTGCGCCTGCGCAAATACCTCTGTGCCTGTGCAAAGTGCGCGTTTGGCATGCACACATGCAAAGTGTGTGCACGTGCACAAAGCACACAAGTCATGCCCACCGAACTGGTGATAAAACTTGTTGAATCCCACCACAGATGCAAATCCTATACAATATGCTTTGATTTTAAAATGTTTCAGTTTACAGGTGAAACTCGAAAAATTAGAATATCGTGCAAAAGTTCATTTATTTCAGTAATGCAACATAAAAGGTGAAACTAATATATGAGATAGACTCATTACATGCAAAGCAAGATAGTTCAAGCCGTGATGTGGCATAATTGTGAGGATGATGGCTTACAGCTCATGAAAACCCCACATCCACAATCTCAGAAAATTAGAATATTACATGCAATCAATAAAACAAGGTACATAGAACAATATCGGACCTCTGAAAAGTATAAGCATGCATACGTACTCAGTTCTTGGTTTGAGCCACTTTTGCAGCAATTACTGCCTCAATGCGGCGTGGCGTGCAAGCTATCAGCCTGTGGCACAGCTGAGGTTTTATGGAAGACAAGGGTGCTTCAATAGCGGCTTTCAGCTCTTCTGCATTGTTCGGTCTCATGTCTCTCATCTTTCTCTTGGCAATGCCCCATAGATTCTCTATGGGGTTCAGGTCAGGCAATTTTGCTGGTCAATCAAGCACAGTAATCCCATGGTCATTGAACCAGGTTTTGGTGCTTTTGGCAGTGTGGGCAGGTGCCAAGTCCTGCTGGAAAATGAAGTCAGCATCCCCCATAAAGTTCGTCTGCGGAAGGAAGCATGAAGTGCTCCAAAATCTCCTGGTAGACAGCTGCGTTGACCCTAGACTTAATCAAGCACAGTGGACCAACACCAGCAGATGACATGGTTCCCCAAATCAACACAGACTGTAGAAACTTCACACTGGACTTCAAGCATCTTGCAGTGTGTGCCTCTCCATTCTTCCTCCAGACTCTGGGTCCTTGGTTCCCAAATGAGATGCAAACATTGCTCTCATCAGAAAAGAGGACTTTGGACCACTGAGCAACAGACCAGGTCTGTTTTTCTTTAGCCCATGTAAGATGCTTCTGACGTTGTTTGTTGTTCAGGAGCATCCTGACAAGAGGAATACGACATTTCCAGGATCCGTCTGTGTGTGGTGGCTCTTGATGCACTGACTCCAGCCTCAGTCCACTCCTTGTGAAAGTCCCCAACACTTTTGAATGGCCTTTTCCTGACAATGCTCTCCAGGTTGCGGTCATCCCTGCTGCTTGTGCACCTTTTTCTTCCACACTTTTCCCTTCCACATAACTTTCTATTAATGTGCTTTGATACAGCACTTTGGGAACATCCAACTTCTTTTGCAATTACCTTTTGAGGCTTTCCCTCCTTATGGAGAATGTCAATGATGGTTTTCTGAACAACTGTCAGGTCAGCAGTCTTTCCCATGATTGTGATTCCTACTGAACCAGACTGAGAGATCATTTAAAGGCTCAGGAACCCTTTGCAGGTGTTATGGCTTAATTAGCTGATTAGAGTGGGACACTTTGAGCCTAGAATATTGAACTTTTTCACAATATTCTAATTTTCTGAGATTGTGGATTTGGGGTTTTCATGAGCTGTAAGCCATAATCATCTCAATTATGACACATCACGGCTTGAACTATCTTGCTTTGCATGTAATGAGTCTATCTCATATATTAGGTTCACCTTTTAAGTTGCATTACTGAAATAAATGAACTTTTGCACGATATTCTAATTTTTCAAGTTTCACCTGTAGATACGGATCATCAGAGCTGTGGTTTCTATCTACCAAAGCAGGGCCTTTTCATGGCATCTGATTCATGGAGTATTTGGGGGGTGGGGTATTCTGCAGAATTGTTTTTATATTGGATTTCATTTCAGGAAATAATTGAAACTATCATTACTTATTCAGAAATACGAAGCATCATGGGCAGTGTTTGGCTTCAGGGTTTAATGAGAGTGATCTAAAACCAGAAATTTTTGATATTTTGCTGGCAACTGTGGTTGGTATCTTCAGAGGCAAGATGACCTACTATGCCAACTACAGGCAATTGAGCAGGGATTGACTGGGGT